CCGGGAACCAAACTCACGACCTTGCGCTTGCCAGGCAGGTGCTTTTGCCGCTGAGCTAAATCCCCAGCCCCCAGAATGTTAATGTTGATAACTTGTTACGGATTCAGCCGCAGACTTGATTCAGATTTTGTGGTGGTCCCACCGGTGCCCTTGCCTGGGCCAGGATCCAGGCCAGCATTGGTGAGGCCTTTTCTCAGACTCCTCCAGCAGGCGGCAACCCCTCAGACCCTTCTTGCCTTTCTGCCCAGGACCCTTTGCAGAGCTGCGTACTCTGTTGCTTATCGGTCACCAGGATGCCCCTTGATGTGCCACTGTGAGGGAGGCCTCCTGAGGGAGGCCTGTGCCCTGCATTTGGGCGGGGTGCCCCCAAGTGATCCTGTGCCCTTCGTAGTGCAGCATGTCTCATTACAGGATGTGTGCATGTCTCATTCTCTGTAATGCTCCTGCTGTCCTCCTTGTCATTGGAATGTGTCCTGTGGCAGTGCTTTGAGGCTATGCAAATGTCCTGGTGCTCAGCACACATCTCCCACTCCTGGTCTGCAACCAGGAGTCTGGAGGTATTTGCTTGTCTTTTCAGTGTCTCCCTTTGTGCTTAGGAGAGAGGAGGAGGATTGTTCAGGGTTTTTCAGTCACCTGGCTGCAGGGAAAGGTGGTCCCCCTAAGGAATGGGCTTCTCTTGCTTACCAAGTCAGAGCTTCCTGTTTTGAGACCAGGTCTCATTGTGTAACCCAGGCTGGCCTCTAATGTGCAGTGGTCCTCCTGCCTCAGCATCCTGAGTGCTGGGATTATAGTCTTAGACTTTCATTTTCTTTTCTTTTTTTTTTTTGAGTACAGGGAATCGAACTCAGGACCTTGTGCTTGCCAGGCAAGTGCTTTGCTGCTAAGCTGTATCTCCAGCCCCCTAGAGTTTCATTTTCCAACAGGCAGGAAAGCTGATGTTTTCCCCCAGTACTTTTTTTTTCTGTGTGAACTCACTGAACACATTTCCTACTTGGCAGCCATGCTGATTAACCCTCTGGTCACTGGTGCCTGTGAGAGTTACTGAGTGTCCATGTAGTTTTGCACTTGTATTCAAAGGAGAATTTGGCCTGCGCTCATTTTTGTTATTATTATTTGTGTCAGGTGTTAGCATTAGTGTAATAATGGCCTTGCAGAATAGATCAGAAAACATTTAATCTTTTTCTATGGCCTGGACCAATTTAAATGATATACAATTATTTGCTTTAATAAAACTTGTTAGTGAAACTCCGGGGGCCTGAACTTCTTGGCTGTGGTCACTTTCCCAGCAGTGGGCCCACTGGGCAGCTACCATTGCCTGTGGTCTCCTTCCCATCCGGATTTTCAAATTCACTGGCAGATAATTGTGCAGATGTTTTTCGAACCAGGGAGACCCCTTCCGGTCTAGAGCCATAGCCTTCATCACTGAGCTATGCAGTCCCCCGTTTTTCCTTAGTGCCGAGTGCTTTTTCAGCAAACTGGCTCCAAGTCAAGACTGGTCCCCCCTCCATTTGTCATTTCATCGTTTCGCTGTAGCCTTTGCTCCATTTCATCCTCTTCACTTTTTACCATGCAGCTTCTTCTCCTGGGTCTTTACTTCATTAAAGCGTCGTGGTCCTACTTTGTAGCAAGTGCGCTCACAACCCAGGGCTTCTGACTTTTGCGATCCCCTTCCCCGTGTCTGGTCCATCAGCAAATCCTCTCCTGGAAAGCGGGCAGGACTGTGCTACTTCTACCACAGCCGCCCAGCCCAGGCTGTCATCGTCCTTCCCCTGAGTGGTTGCGACAGCCCCTTTCCAGCTCCAGCGGGGTCTTCCTCAGGCATTGCCCAGTGCAGGAGGCCGAGGGAGCTTCGTCACCCTGGTATGGAAACTGCGGGGATAATGTGAAGTCAGCAAAGCCTGATGGGTCACAGGTCTCACTGCTCCGCAGTAGTCACAAGAACAGCTGCGCATGCGCCTGTGCGCAGACGTGCTTGCCTGTGTGCGCATGTGCGGTCTGGAGTCGGGGTGTGGCTCTCTGAAGACTGGCTGTCCCTTGCAGAGGTCAGGAGCGAGGGGAGAGTGGTTCCGGGCATCACTCTAGCCGTGTCTGCTCCCCACTCTGTGTCCTTTGTCACCTGAAGCTGTGAGCTTGACAGCCTCGCTGTGAAGCCCTCAAGCCCGCTCAGCCCCCAGGGTGGAGGCTGGTTCCCTGGGCTGTTTCCTGTGTCGGCACCCAGTCCAGCCCGGGACAGCAAGGGCTGTGAGCGAGGACAAGTGACAATCTTAGTGCAGCGCTCTAACCTAAGAAACCCGTGTCAAATGCCAGCAGCCAGGACCCGCTCTGAGTCTTCCATTATCATAGCCCATAGTTCAATTCTGTATTGCGTTGAAGTTCGCAGAAATTGAAGTCCGAAATTACATCCCACAGTGTGATGACCAGAGGCCTGCCCCTTGGTTGCCTATTTGATCCTGGCAGATGAGGGTGTTGAGTCTGGGTGCATTCAGCAGCCATGTCTGAGCCATGTCACATACGTGCCCTCATAGGTCCCTTAGGCCTTGGACACTGCCTTATCCCTGAACAGCTCCTTAGTTCCTCCTTAGAAGACCAGGTGGCCTCTGACAGCCTACAAAGTCCTCACAGGCAGACTGAGGCCAGATGTCTGGACAGTGCCCGCTGTCTGAGGAGGCCTCGCCTTGCATCTCTGTGGAGGACACGAGGGCTGCCTGGGTTGCCTGGAACCCTCAGAATCTAAACTCAGCTAGGCCCTCAGCCACCCGGAGTGAGCTTGGTCCTGGCCTGTGCTGCCCAAATGTTGGTGCCCCTCACAGCCCCTGGCTTTAGCTCTGGGGTTTGGGATTGAGGTCCCCCCTGGATTCCAGGGCTGACTTCCAGCACCCCCATCCTATGGGGAAGGGACCGGTCCCTGGTTCCCATGCTGCCCACCTAGGCCTAGCCTTTGCGCACCGAGACACTCAGTCACCAGTGCCTGGAGGGCCCGCCAGGTCCCCATTTGCTGATGGGCAATGTCTTCCCAGCTGTGTCCCCAGGGCAGCTTTTTCCCTGGAGCCCTGGTCTCTGCTGATGGCTGGAGCTGGTCATCTGCTGCCTGAGGGAATCTTTATCCTCCAGGGTGGCGTGACTCCAGCCCAGTGCTCTGTGAGGCAGGGATGACAAGGTGCCCTTTATTGCCAGGGAAGCGGCGCCACAGCTGAGGAAGGCGGTGCCCTGGTGCCACACCCTCATCCTTGGTGTGACACTGTCCGACAGCCAGGCAGAGTGCTGGCTTGGCTTGGCTTGATCTTCACGTCCCCAGCCCAGTACCTAGTATTGGGGTTCCCAGCACTGACCTCGCTGCCCTGCTCCAGCTCTGGACAGGTGTGCAATGACATAGAGGAGGATGGGGCGGGGAGCTGCCCATCCGGGACATGGCGGGCCTGAAGCTCTGAGTCCAGAGCTGCTGTCCTCTCTGTACCCCAGGGGTAAATGAGCCCCAGCAGTCGCGGCACTCCAGAGAGCAGAAATCCTGGGCTGGCGCCCCCAGGCTGAGCAGCAGCATGGAGTGCCTTTCGTCTCCCATTTCCCCCAGCGGCTTGTTCTGGGTGGCGTCTTTTCCTGGGCCGCCCCGGCTTGCCTGTGTGCTGCCAGGGACAGTGGTGGGCATGAGGATGGTCACTCACATGCAGCCCTGTGACTTCCCAGGACTGTGGAGAGGCGGGCAGTTGGCACTGTCCAGAGGGTTGTGGACGCCAGCCTTGTCAGGTAGATGGTGAGTCCCACAGTGCTGGGCTGGGCCTTTGGCCAGGGACCCAGGCTGCCGCTGTGGTGCCCGGCTCCCATCTGTGGGCGCCGGCAGGGGTCCTGTCAGCAGCGTGGCTGTGACTGCTCTTCCTGCTGCTCTGGGCGGAAGGACCCTGAGACTTGATTAGGAACAACTTGATTATATCACCGTAGGAGCCCAGATGTAGATTTGTAGAAAGATTTTCATTTTTTGTTTTAAAAACCGTGTTTATTTTTTCTGGCCAGTATAATTTTCCTTGGGGACCTCACCCTTTGATCTGCACTGGAAAGAAATGTTACCATTTTAAGACCTCTTAAAACATGTCTTTGGATTTATTGTGGGTACAAATGGAAATTCAGATAATGGTTCTGTTCGTAAGTGAAGGAAAACAGGAAAAGAAAATAAATTCTTGCTACTTGGAGTGATAAACAGGGCAAAACGTGTACTGTATATCCTGGCAACAGAAACTCAAGGTCGGAAATAATTCCTTTCCTCCTGAGCCTGCCGAGAGCCTCCGGAGGAGCGCAGCGCTGAAATTTGCTAATTGTCACTGTAATTTTAGCATGCAATTAAACACATGATTTCCTTCCCAGCTGATGTCTTTTAAGCTAGTTTGACATGGATCAAACAAAAGCTGTGGATATGAACGGCCACTTCAGTCTGACAGGAGGTCACCGAAAGTCACCATTGTCTGGGCACGTCTGCTCCCCGGTGGGAAATAGAATTATCATCTTATTATAGAAATAGTAGATAGCTTGGGCACTGCGGTACAGTTTCCAGGGCCACATCCTGTCCATAGGCTGAAGAGAACCAGCAACCAGTGTGTGCATTTACCTGAGTCCTTCTGAGATTAAGGTTCACCGGGTGGGTACACCAGGCAGTGCTGAATCAGAGGTGGCAACTGTGGGGTCGTCTTGGCGGGGACAGAGGCTCATGAAGGTCGCTTGGGTTGGAGGAGTCGCACATAGGCCTCGCCTGAGCCCCAAGGGAGAGCAGCCTCGTTCTCCTTGGTAGAGCAGGGATGTCCAGGACCGGTGCTGACACAGTGGGCCTGCCTTTTGCCTTCCCGCCACCTCATATCCTGTTACCTGTCTCCCACGGTGTTAGAGGACGCCTTGGGGATGTGGCAGTATTGTGCTGCTTTACCTCCTTAGGTTCTCCCAGGTTTTTAGTCCCTCGATGCTTTTTGGATGGGGTCCCTGGACCTCCAGCGCAGTAACAGTGTGCACTGTTCTTTCAGATGGCAAGTTTGGCGCCTACATGCAGGTGCACATTCAGAACGATGGACCTGTGACCATAGAGCTGGAGTCCCCGGCTCCCGGTGCTGCCACCTCTGACCCAAAGCTGGTAAGTCCAGGGCTCGGGCTGTCTCTTAGGTTCAGGCTGCACGTCCTGGCTTCAGTGTAGGCCTCAGTCAGCAATGCAGTGCTACTGCAAGGTATTTGTCGTAGTACCTCTCCTCCCGAGAGTGCATGTTTGCGCTGTAGCTCCTGGACCTGTGGCCAGAGAAAAATGTCCTTGCCAAGCCTGGTGCGGGGCTGGGTGCCACGTGTCCACCCGCCACTGGGTGGCAGCAGAGCAGCAGTCTTGGCGGCTTTGCCTACAGAAGAATGGTTACCTGGAGGACTTTTGTACCAGGTGTGCTGGATGCTCCTCCCCATGATCTTTGTGGCGCCTCCTGTTTCTAAAACTATGTCTGGGCCACATTTACTGCCAACTCCGTAAGCTTTCAGCAAAAATGTAATTAAAGTAGATAGCAGGGGCTAGGGATGTAGCTGAGTGGTAGAGTGTTTGCCTAGCTTGCATGAGGCTCTGAGTTCAATTCCCAGTACCACCAAAAACAAAAAACAAAAACAAAACGGAAAAGAGAAGTGCTGGGCATCCTTCGAGTCTGTGTGGCCTCAGTGGGCCCGACACACTTCTAAGGACTTTACTGCATACAGCAGTGGTGGAGACCTGGGCTGGCAGTGGTGCCAGCTGAGGGGGAGCTCCTGTTCGTGCCCTGGCTGGTGCTGTGCGGTGGGCCATGTGGGGCATGCACTGGGCCCACATTTGCAAGGGAGCAGAAGCTTCTCTTCTGGCTTGGAGACTCTGTATCGAAACAGAAGTAGGGATTGTCTGAGGAGTGCTAGACTTAAAAGGTGGCCACTGTGGGTCTTGGAATTAATTTTTTTTGGAGACAGGGTCTCACTTTGTAATTCAGGTTGCCCTTGAACTCATGATGTAGCCCAGGCTGGGCTCAAACTTATGGCGGTCCTCCTGTCTCAGGCTCCTGCATGCTGGGATTACAGGTGTGCACCTCCACACCTGGTGGCTGCGGAATTAATATTAACATTAAAAAACATCACAAACAAACCTGTATAGCAGCATACATGTGTACTCCCAGTGCTTGGGAGGCTGAGACGAGGATTACTGAGAGTTAGAGGGCACCCAAGGTCCCCACGCAGTGGCCTCAGCCTCACTGCCCGCTCCAAGGTTTCTGGGCCCACCCTGGCAACCCTGGCAGCCCTGTCCCCAGGTGCTTTCTCTTCAGGTTTTCTTCGTGCCTCTCCGTTTATTTGATCATTATTCTGGTTTTTTGATGTATTATTCTGCTTTAACTCTATTTCAAGAAAAATTTTGATCAGGCCTTTTCATTCTTAATGTTTTTTCTGGAAATGTGGGCTTTGTGATGTCTTACACCTGCGGGATCTGCAGGCATCTTTCAGTGATTACCCTGATTTTTCTTGTTTAGGTTAAAGGGTACAAAGATGCAGTTATCCCAGATAAATAAATTTAGAGATGCAGCCGACAACCTGAGGATTGTAGTTTTTATCAGACCGTTAGCTAGGGTTTTGCTAAGGGAGTAGATTTTAGATGCTGTCACTGCTTCCAGAAAAAAGGTAACTAATGGCTGGGTATGGTAGCCTATAATCCCAGTACTTGGGAAGCTGAGGCAGGAGAAGTGTCACAAGTTCAAGGCCAGCTTGGGATACGAAGTGAATTCAAGGCCCGCCTGAACTACATAGACCCTGTCTCAAAAAACAGAACAAAACAAAACAAAACAAAAGTTAGATAAGAGATAGAAAATTAAAAAAGAGATTGGGTTGTAGTTTACTTGTTTGTGGCTGACCACTTCCCTGTGGTGAGTGTATAAAGATGTCCTGATCCCTGAAGTACATTAATTAAAAAAAAAACACCCCCAAAACAAAAGACAAATGCAACTCTGACAGTGTTCACTTATTAGTGTAAAACACCTGTAGCTGTTTCTGAATCTGAAGGAGGATTACCCGTACAGCTGCCTGAGTTACCCACATCCAATCTCTGACCCCAGTCTGTGTCCCCTGGCTGCCCAGCAGATGGCAGTGAGTGGGCGAGGTGGGGCCTCTGTGACCTGTGGTGCTGGCCTTGGCCTGCTGGTCCCTTCCTGTCCCTTCGAGCAGAGCTGCATGGCCAGCTTCCGCATGGATGGGGAATGCATAGCCAGGCGTGCTTGGCCGGTGGATAAATGGGTGCTGCCATCAACCACACTTTTAACTCTGAGTGTTTTATTTCCCCACTGGATCCCATGGCTGCAATTACAGTGCAGAAGAGTGGTTCTTTGGTGTTTTGCATTATGGAGAAACAATTCTTTGGGCCGTTGTCTTTAGATACAGGCTTTTTAGACAGTGCACATGGAGAAGGGCTGCTCGCCTGACCGTGTCAGGCTGTGCGTCAAGTGGTAGGATCACTACCCAGGCTCTCCTAGTGGGAGGTGGCTTCTGCTGGTATAGACTGGGCTGGGAGTGGCCCTCGCTCACCTGCCCTTGCCGGCTCCTGCAGGTTCCCGAGGCCACGTTGGCAGCTCACATGCCCCTCGAATCGCTGCTGCTGGGTGCCATGGTGGTGGGTGCCACAGTGGCTGCCAGGGATGCGAGCCTGTTACCCTGGCGAGTGTGACTCTGGAGGGGGCTTCTGCCAAACAAGGCGTCAGCATTTGAGGCCCTCCTGCCTAGCAGTGTTGCCATTAGTTATTTCTGCTCTTGTCTTAAAGCTTTTATTTATTAATTTTTCTGTGGCGTGTGGCCTCTGTGCTAAGTTCCATCCCCAGCCCTTTTTTACTTCTCCTTTTGAGATAGGGTCTCACTCAGTCGCTAAATTCCCATGCCACTGAAACTTCCTATCCTCCTGCCTCAGCTTCCCAGGGTCTGGGATGACGGGCGTGTGCTACCACACCTGGCTCGTTCCCATGCCCACCCGGCTGAAAGCCTCATTAAATGGAAATGCTGGGAGGAGCTGAAAAAAATGAACTGCCAAGCTCATACTCTCAAAGTTTTAAAACAAGAGCAGAAATAATTAATAGCAGCACTGGCTCATTGACTGAACAGGGGGATGAGCTGACCAGCAAAGATGAGGCCTCCGATCTCATGAAGCCTCCACTCTTACGCTTCTCTGAGTGACGCCGTTGCTCCTCCTGTAATCTCTGCTCTTGTCTCATTAGCCAGCGTCTGTCGCCGAGCTGGGATCTTGGCCTGTGGCGTTGGAGCTGTTTGTACCCGAATGATGAAAGAGCTCCTTTTTGTTTTCCTCCGTTTAGACTTCCAGGGACAACAGGGAGCCCAGCTCAGTAATGTGTGTTGTGGAGCCAGAGTGGTGATAGACAGGCTAGGGCACGGGTGGGTTCTGCCAGGCAGCACCGTTGCAGGTGCCAGTGTGCTTCCACCCCACATGCTTCCAGCTGAGCAATGGGGCACTGGAAGCTCTCTGGGTGAAGGAAGAAGTAGGGAGCTGTTGCCCAGCTGCGTGACCTCGAGGAAGAGTATTTACTTGGGTGTCTGTATTCCCTTGTCTGCCCTTTTTTATGCTTGAGCTCTAGACTTCTGTTCCCTGATGTCGGTGGCTTTGGCATCAGCATCTCCATGGCCTGACCCAGGCTTGACCTGCCAAGGGATATTTGCAAGTCTCGCTGCTGAAGCAGTACCCAGCCTCGGTCAGTCCCGCCGCCCTTACTCAGCCGTTTTGTCACAGGAACGTGGTGAACACCCCTTGACTAAAGTCTTGTTCTATTTTTTCTGAGGTGTTACTGTTGTGGTTTATGTCCGGATGACCTCCTAAAAACACATGTGCTCAAAGGTGGGGCTTTTGAGAGGAGACTGATCATGGGGCTCCATGGGCGCCATAGCTAAGGGTGCCGTGAGGGGGCAGGGCCTGGAGGAAGAGGCGCCTCAGGGCCTGGAAGGTGTGGCTCCCTCATGGCTCCTCCCCTGCTCCCCCTACTTCCAGTCCACCGTGCCCTGGGAAGCTCCCCTCCACCAGGCTTTCCTGCCTTGGAGCCAGCTGACTATGGACTGAAATGGGAGCCAGAATAACCCTCTCCTCCCTCAAGTTGTGATGTCCATATTGTGTCTCAGGGATGAGGACAGTGACTAAGATAGTCATTAAAATGTGACAGTGGGCTTCTACCAGTCACGTTTTCACTGCAGTTTTGGTTGTTGCCACTGTTTGGACCTTGTCATAGTTGGCTGTTTTGTGACACGGCTTTTGGTCCCTAGCCTGCTTCCTCAAAGGCCTCCCCCTAGGGCTGCCAGGCATGCAGCATCCTGCCTGGTTTCTGCTCTGGGCTCTACCTCTGCCTGCCTGAGTTAGGATGGCAGCACAGCTCTCTGGGACCCAGGCTGGGTGGCTCCTGTCCCTGCCCTGGCAGTCAGAATCCATCCCCGGGTCTGGCAGTGCCTGGAGGGAATGTGGCTCTGTGCATGGATAGGTGAGTGGTAGGAAGGGCAGGCACGGCCGCCCGGATGCTTCCGGCAGGCTGGCCTCTTTAGGTGGGAGAGCTGCCAAGGTTGCTTTCATCGTAGCCTTTTAATTTGCTTCCATGCAGACAGTTGTCCGAAGTCTCTGTAGACTTAAAAAGACGCCTTCCTGGGGTGTATGTGATGTCCTCTCTGCGTGAGGACCCAGTGATTGGTTGGTCAGCTGACCTTCCTCGTACCTTCTTAAGCCCAATGTACACATTAACAAAATTGCAAAAATGGAAGGATGCGTTCCCTGCTTTTGGAATTTGGCCGATAAATTTAAAACTATGAACTGCTCCTCTTCTACCTTTGACATAGAAATCATTCTTAATTTCACCAGAGCAAAACATCTGAGAACCAATTTCTCAGGACACTCGCGTTAGTGCATGTAAGGGCCTTATTTATTCCCACATATGTGTTTTGGGCATATTCCTAGTTATTTTAATCTTCTAAATTCATTTGTGGATGTGTTTAAAACCAACAACAAACTTCCTGTCCTATGACTTGAGCAGCCAAAGACTAACAGATCACCCTTCCTTGGGTTTATACATTGAGCATAGCAATAACTGAATTCTGTGGCCTCAGGACTTACAT